GAGATTCTCTTTGTCTACTTGGTCTTAAATTACTCTACATTTTGAGGTTGTTTAGGAGGTGTTCATATATCTATGACTATTTCCACATGAAATGTGCTCTGTTTAAGCCAATGCATTCTGCTTGTATGAATAAGAATACAGATTAAAAAGTTGTAAGGTATTCTCTAGATTGTGCCTGTGTTATTTTCCGTGGGCGACAATCTCATTAATACTTCTGTTTTTTCAAATATCCTATACAGAAAAACAACAATAAAACACAAAAGAGAAAGATAAAAAACATTTAACAGATTTTTTTTAAGTAAATATATTAAACCATATTTTTATGTTGTAGAGTACTTAGTTTTGACTATACATTTTTACACTAAAATTTGGTTTTCCCATCTTTTTGCTGTTGTCTCCCAATTAAGATACATAACAAGAGTTGATGGTAACTCTGGGGACAGTGGTGTGGGCATGCAGACACCTGCAGTTGCTTAGTGTATATGTACATGCACAGAAATTGGTTTTCATATACAAATACAGATATAAATTGTTAGAAATTTTACAAACTATTTATATTCAGAGCAAATAACAAATTATTCTGCTAAAAGATTAATTAAGAATATGATATTGATGAAGAGGCATCAGCATTTGTTCCCATTATCTCTTGATTGAGCCAGGAAATACCAAACAAAATGTTAATGAACTGGTCTTAGCTTAGCACTGCATGTTAGTCACTCCATGTCAGCTCCCTGATCTAAAAGCCCTAACGAAAACAATAAACTTGTCTTTCACAATTCCTTGGCAGAGATGTATTATTGGTAGCAGTGACTATACACAGGTAACTAATTAACTTACTTATATAAAGTCAAGGTATCATTATAATCTATATGCCTGGATTCCACATTGTTAGTTGTATCCCTTATGCACTACAGTCTAAAGTTATATAGTAGCCTATGTAAGTAACATATAGCAACAAAAGCATCAATATTCAATTCACAAGCACTTAAAATAAGTTTATTGCAACTGAAAAAAATAGTTCTGTTTTCCCTAGAACTCAAAATCAATTCTATTTTCCCCACAACATACAACGTGCAGCTGATGGTTCTATCCTACTATTTCTGCACTTAGTGGAACCCTGAAACCAAAACCCACAAGCACCATCACACCTCAAAATCACTTTAGAACTATAATAAAATGGTAGTTAAATTGTATGAGGAATTTTATAATATTTATCCTTACTTTTGGGGCACAATTTCTTATTCTGCTCAGAGAATTACAAAGAACATATTGTCTCTTCTGCGTAGGCTTTGCGTAGGTTTCTCATACTTAAAAGCTTGCAATGATATTGGTTAATTGCCAGATTTCAGCCACCTCTCTAACCTCTCCCTTTCAGTGGGCGTGAAGGGGTTTACTTGTAATATATATTGCTACTGATTGAATTTTATCTTGTTCTCCTGGATTCTCATCAGCAATTCCCAAGTTAGAGGCTTCCCCAGCAAGCACGTCAAAGGATTCCCACCCACGCACTGAATATCTAACAGGCCCTGACCCATTTTCTCCTTATTAAAGCAGCACTACTTACTTTAAAAAATAAAAATAATAAACAGAGAAGCTAAATGAATGCAAGAATTGCAGTTGGAACTCTACCCTCTTCACTTCTTAGTTCCAACAAAATCACTACCAAGAAGCAGAGACATATTTAAAATACAAACATCAAATGTATTTTCCTCGGTGTTCTTATTCAGTTACTTATTACCCCAGCTGTCTTTTGGCTAAGTACAAGGACAACTTCATTTATTAATTCTGAATATAGAAAAGTTCCCTAATTTAGCCATACTGATCTCTTCCAATCATATCTTTAGGCACATTTCTGCAACTTGCGCTTTAATAATTTTGTAAGTCAGTGACATTAACATATAGGATGCTTAAAAAAAAAAAATTAAGCCCCATAGTGAGTAACAGTTGCAAATAAATGATTTTACTAAGACTATTGATGATACCTAATCAGAACAAGCAATAGCAATTAACACTGAATATTTCTAACTGAAGTTTTATGGTAGGATGGCCTACTGTAAATACTATTGCAAGATTCAAGATCTGTTATATAGTTGATATGTTGGAATTTATTAACATCCTCAAACAATTTAACAGGTACAGTATTATGTTTTAAGCAGAAAGAAAATGGAAACAGAAAATTCAATTGATGTATGACTTGCAATTTGCACGATTTCAGACATAGTGGCAATCAGATTTTACTGGTTACAGTTGCATAACAGCCTTTTCCCCACCTTGTGCTTTTACCTCCAAAGGAAGTGAAGCACTTCAGGAAGTCTAATAACCTCTCCCAAAACAGCAACATTTAATAGAAGAGGTGGAAAAATCCCTAAAACAGAAAAGAAACCTAAGTAGTTTATACTTGTTGTGCTGCAGTTCTTCAGTCAGTTACATCTATGGCTGTGCTTCTTCCAGAAGGGACAGCCCTACATTTCTCTCAGCTCGGACCTGCACGCTGCCATTGCCACTGCAAAGACAGCACAACTATTTCTGTGGTTGCCCAGTGAACTAGGTAAGGGAATTATTTTATCTAACAGTAGATCTGATCAGATAAAGATGTCAACTGGATGAATTCCCTGAGCTTTGATGCCAATGCAGACTTGAATTAAACTGATAAAATTACGATAAAATATTTATTTCTATCACAGTGCAGAAAATGGACCAAAAAACCCCATAATATTAGATAAACCATATTTTAACAAATACTGAAAGAAAAAAAAAAATCCTTTATAAAAGCCCCATATCTCATAAGTAAATCCTTTGTAATTACAAAAGCAAACCCTAGCTTTACTTGTTATTTATAAATTATATACTCATACCTTCTCCTTCCCCCTTTTAATAGTGCTTTATGCAACTGACTTCCCAGGGAAAGCAGATTAAGAATGATTAAGAATCATACCATATATGAACATTCTTAGTTTTCAACACCAATTATTATGAAAAAATATACAGTTACCTTCTAAAAAGGACCCCACCTGTTCTTTCCAATAGGAAGGATGGGAGATGAGGGAAAACACCAACACAAATAAGAATACTTCCCTGTATCTTACAATATATATTCAACTGGCATGCAGTCATCTTTCAGTGATTAAGACTTTTCTCTAACAACTTATCATTATCTTATTTAAGAATCCACTTCATTCTAATGAGAACTTGCATCTGTAAAGGTAGACAACACTATGACACTATGTCTGGAGTCAAAGTAACCAAGTTTATATGATTTTACAAACAAAAATAGGAACTAGGAGACCTCCTTTGTTTATAAATCCATAGTAAGTTACATCAACTGTAACACTATATTGATTAAAGCTCATCTTTTCACAAACATAAGCAGGCAGAGAAATAACAATGCCAATCATTGCCAGAACAACATTCAACACTTGTAAAACCTCTTCATCTACCTGGAAAACAAGCTTCCTTCTCACCCAGGTTTGCATAGGATACCTTACGGATAAACATATTTTGAATTAGAGGACTGTTTATCATTGTCTTGTGTCATGTGAATATTTCTGAAAACATCTATTAGATATAAGACTAGCTTTAATTTGGACCACATATATTTTTTCCTATGACACAAAGAACAGAAGACTTTACAACTCTGGTGGAGCTTGCTGACTTAATTTAAAAGAAAATGAACTTTCTTTGCCAATATGCTCCACGCTATTCTGTCAAAAAGACTATTCTCTGGAGAAATAAGTTAAGAGAGGAATTCCACAAATTTGTAGTATACACTGTATGTCACTTCAGCCCACAAAGAACTGAAAATTTAGAGAAATATATTTAAGTGGTCTTACAGAGTAAGATGACTAGAAACCAAGCTATGCCTTTTTGTCACATGCTTGCATTTTCCCACTGGGCCTCTGACAATGGCACTTGAAGAAAGGAATGCACAGCTCAGCCTTTTCTTTTAGAAAAGGTGAGGAATACCTTCTGCATTGCTTGAATACTATTGCTCCCTTAGAACTCCTTTTTATGCAGGAAACATGACTGAACAACCAAGTGTTTCTTTATCTGTCTCTTCCAGTTTTCTTCTTATTGGAAAGATTTTCTTCTCCTCATGTAAAAGCTCTTTTGAAATAAATAGTCTTAATGTTTTCAACCTGACAGTAAGCGTCCTCTCCTTCCTACTTTCCATAAATTGCCTGAGTATTAATTAGTTCATATTATTTAATTTTATATCTACGTATTTTTACTTCTTGATCAAATTTAAAGAACGGCACTTTCTGAAAAGCTCATATTCAGCTCTACAACTTGCACACTTTTGCATTAATGTACTCATGCTCTGACTGGGCTGTTTCTTGAATAAAACAAAATAAAGGAACAAGAACTTTGTGTAACTAAAGAACCCTAAAAATCTGCATTGTTCATTAAGCAAATCAACATTCTATTTAAAAAGAAAATTGAAGCACGAGCTTTTCACAGAAACAGTAGCTTATTAAATTGTTTAGTAGTTTCTGAAGCCAGTGGCAAAATATTTAACAAACCTAATACTGAATTGCAATTATCTTTTGTTTTCTAAAAATTAACATATACACAAGACATATTTAAATTACCTCCTTATTTAATTTAAAAGTATATTATTCCAACCTTTTTTGTGAAATACTTACCACAAATTATGTTTTTGCACAACGCTGCCATCAGAATCATCTCAAAGCAAGAGCAGCACATGAATCTTTCTTAAATAATTTTTTAAGTATAAAATTAGCTACTTCATGTATACTCAAAATTAACAGAGCACAGAGTATGCAATTAATTGCAAAAACCTCAGAAGAACTTGCATGCAATTACTCATAAATAAATTGAATTGGATCTCCTATTTAACACAGTACATACAGCATATAATGCTATTCTATGATAAGGCATTAAAAACTATATATTAAAATTATAAAAATACATTAAGTTGTGTATATAATACCACATTATCATCCTTATCTCAACCATATTTACAACAGGATAAGACTTACGGGTAGGATTCTGAAAGCTGCTGAGCTATCTTATAAGCTGTGGGGTCCCTGTCCAGTGCATACACAGTAATGTCACTGGCTTTCTCTAGCAGAGCTCTAGTGTGACCTCCGGCTCCAAACGTCATATCGAGGAAACGCTGTTGAGTAAGAAAAGACAACACCATTACCTTAGAATAGAAAAGTCATAAACCAGTTGTTGATTTAAAGCTTCTTTTGTTAATCTCTCTCATATGCTGGAGGAAAACATACCATTCAATATAGTCACAACATCTTTTTGGAAGTATTTTCATATTTTGTGCAGAATTGTAATCATGTTAGAGTAATCTTTTTAGGGGTTGTGATCCCCCCCCCTCCATCAATCCTTCCAGAATAAAAGGACAACCAATTGGTACAAGCAACTGCAGCTTCACACTCTTCTCAATTCTTTACATTCTGAGTTTAGAGGAAAGCCACTTGTTTGACTGTTTTGTTTGGACTTGCTTACCTTGAAGCATACAAAGATATATAGGACATGGGACTATAGGAAGTAATCAGCACCATCTGCTTTGTAAGAATGTGTCTAAAAGGAAGGCTGATGGATTTGTGTACTAACTAAACAAAACAACACTATCATAGTTTTATACCACAGATCAAAGTATGATGGCAGCACAGCCACATACACATCCTTACTGGGACTAACCTAACCAGCACAGAAAATGTCAGTTTCTGAGACATAATATCATTGATTTCAGGTTCACTGTGCGAGGACAAAGCTACGTATTTATTAAGGTTACTAAGATATGCTGAAGCCCAGTCCTGCTTTATCTTCTCTACCACCATTACATGTGTTAATTAGACGCAGGAAAGCACAAGAAAACCCACCTTAACTCCAATCCCATTTCAATTGCTGATGTGACATACTGTATGGGCTTGAGTTACACTTTTTGATAAACAATGTATATTTCCTTGCTTCCAAGGTCCTTTGTTTCATCAAGTTTGAATAGCAGAAAATGAAAAGATGAGTTAGGGATCTTTCTGGCCAAGCATCTATCCAGACAATTTTGCTATTTAAGTAATACTGCCATTTTAATTTTTTTTCCCCCCAAATGAGTTTCCAAAGATCTTGTGGCTCATTCAAGAATACTTACATTTGTTATTTTGCTTAACAATCCCACCTTTCCTCACATACATCTGTCTCTGCTTTCAGCAATTTTAATTTTGATAAACTTTAAGCTTGATAAACTTTATACATGCTGAATACTAATGAACCATACAGAAGATCTTATAAATAAACCGCAAATTAATACTAGCGGTGCAAAGGAGAGAAGAGAAAGGATAAGGATCATTGCACCATGACATGGTGAGAAGCTCTCAATATTGTGACAGCATCTAAAAGCTTTAGTTAAGAATTCATGCAAGCATTCACTGTGAATAAACACATGCTCACCAAATTATATTGCCCTTTCTGAAAAAAACCCAGCACAAACCAACCAAACCTTTAAGCAACAGTAGACAACTGTAACATGATCTTTAAATTGTGAGTGCCACATAAAAGAGGATACAGCCCTGTTCAAGCAGAAGTGACTGCAGTACTAAACACACAGTGCTGGATAAAATACTGCATCACCAGCACTAATGGAATAAGCTAAAGCATTTTTGGCATCCTAGAAAACCTAATTAAGGCTACATTAAGTACATTTTCGTATAACTTGTTACAATAAATGAAGACCTTCCATGGATAATCTTGGAACTGCAGACATGTGCCTAAACTAGTAAGCAAGAACTCATACAGATACCTCATAATCTAGCTGTTCCACTCAAGAGCAACAGTTTGCATCTAGAAACTAAAAAAAAAAAAAAAATCACCTTAACTTATTAAAGAAAATAATTTTATTATTAACACAACTATTTTGGAGCATTGATCAGATTTCAAATTAATCACTATACTACACTGTTTCATAATCACTGTTTTATATATTCCATTCATCTTTCATGCCTTAAATAAAAGAAAGAGGCTTCATTTTTTCTTCCTCTTTCTCTCTTGCCTAGTAGTTTTTAATCAAATAAAATTAAATGACATTTTATCCTCCTGGTCCTATAAATACCGGAAAAGATTATTACATGAATTCTTCCTGCAGTGACTCACCGTTCCATTCTTAAGTTATGATAGCCCCATCAGAGTTCCTCTCGAGAATTTTATAATCAGTTTGTGACTGTACATTTTAGAAACCATTTGGCTCTTTCATGACATACAGATAGCAACAAACAAAAACTTTATAGCCTTCATTTTACAACCAGCTCTAAGATAGTTATAGAGATACAAAGAGTTCATCATCTTCATTTTTGTATACAAGACTTTTTTCACTGACAAGCAATCTCCTAATAAACACCTTTTAAGCACTTCATTTTACTGATTGAAGTCATCTGTAATTACACTTATGATTATGTTCCACATCTAATAAAGTTTACTCCACAATACCCGATAGCCTTTGCAATTATTTTTCTTTTCCTGTGTAACAAAATGAGATTGCAGAGTTGATACAAAATTGAAACTCAAACATGGCATATATAAACTGAAAACTACATGAGACTTGTTTTAAAAATATATAATATACAAGTTCTCTCACTAGTATCAGTAATTTCTAGTCTCTGCTTTCTTTTTTAAAAACAAGAAGTTTGTCATGTTCTTAAAGTAATTTGATCTTTTAGATGCACAACTTTCTTTTCCACTACTCACCTTAATTCTTTCAAGTACTTGAAAGTACACAGCAATCCACTGAGCTTTCATAAAATGCTTTTACTTCCTCTTGTAACCCTGACAGCCTCAAAAAGGACTTTGACAAATTGTACTAAATATCTAAGACATCCTGAGTTGGGCTATAGTCCATGAAGTACTATGCCGAACAGTTTCCTGTCCCTAATACCAGCTCCTCATGAGCTATCTCTCTCTTTTCCATCCTTGACCACATGACAGACTTCTGCTGTTTTGTTCCCAAAAAAATGACCTTGCATTGCATTTTTTCTTTAACTCCCAGCCCTGTTAATCCACTTTTTTCTAAAAAAAAAAAAAAAAAAAAAAAAAAAAAACAAAAAACCACCCCAACTATCCTGTATTGATAGTGACCATCCTCTCTGCTTTCAGCAAGTGTTATCACCTGAACCATCTTAATGCCAAATTCACTGACAAAAATAAAATAAAATAAAAAAATAATAATTTAAAAAGTCAATTTCAAATCAGCCTTCTAGGGAAGACACAGTCCCTTCTTCCAGCCCTCTGTTTCGCACTTCCTCTGAAGGCTTATGCGCAGAAGAGACAACTGTACAACTATTCCCCTCTAATGCTCTGGTATCAATGTTATTTTTTCCTTTAAGTGGCAGTCATTCAAGTATAGCAGGATAATGTACCGAGCAGAACATTTTGCAGTACCCTTCAGAGTACATTTGTTGGAGTATCCTCCTCACAAATTAAATGCTCATAAGACCCATCAAACACAGCATGAGCAGATCATTTAGAAGACAGTGAAGACAGCTATCATGTCAGTCAAACAGAACAGTAGGTCAGCCATGGAAAGACAGACTGATGTTGCATTTATTATAATGCAGGATCTCTACACAATATACAGAATTAACTGCCACTTTCAATATACATATCACAGCTGGTTCAGATGTGGTTTTAAGAGGAAAATGTAACTCAGTATTATTCCAAAAGAAGGGAATAGAATCCTACTTCATTAGTCAACTCCTTTAGCTAACAGGAAGGACATACTTGCAAAAAAAGCCAGCCAAGAGAACCATTGCATTCATATTATTCATATTCTAAAAACAAAGTTTGAAATAAGACCAGAAGAAAAATTAACTTGGAAAAAAATACACACTTTGCCAGTACTATATCAATATCATATATGAATATAATATCTTAACAGTGATATCTGGCTGCTGGTGGACTTTCCACCCAAAACTGGGCCTCTCAAACAATAAACTAGAATCACAGAACTTTCCTGTGGGAGGTAGAGAAAGGAAATACATACACAATCCCTGCTGCCACAGCTGAGAACACAGCCCCTACAGTCCCTCACCCTCCATGTTCCATTGTCCAGAAGAAAAATCTGGAGTTAGAAAAAATAACAACTACAAAATTAATATCCCTTTCAGTGCTTGCATAACATACTTTAAAAAAAAAAAAGTAAGTGGCACTCATTCTACTTTTTACATGCTTTGAAACAAAACATAGCAGAACATTGATTTATTTTGAAACAAACTTTGGAAAGAAAAAGGGAAGAACAACTATCCAGAATCCAAATTATGGTACCTAATTTTTCAGCTCATTACAAGAAAAGAAAATGCCTGGTATCTACTGTCTGAAGAAAGTAAAATAAAATAGAGAAAGACTCCTTTGTGCAATTGAGACATCAATGTCAAAATAACAATAAAGTTTCTTAACATATTGTTATACTGGACAGTCTAACAAAAACAAGTTCAAAAAAAGAAACAGCTATGTGCTGAGAGCAATGACGTATTTCTATGATACTAAAGCCACCATCCGCTAGTGTGTTCCAAGTCAATCACGACTGGGTCACAGTGCTTCTCTTTGCTTTCACCGCTCTTTCTTACTGGGATGAAAAGTCAACATTTGTCACAATAATATAGTTTCCATATTTGAAATAAGTGCTGGTGTTTTCTTGTAAATGCAAAGAAGGTCAAACTACTAGTATGCTTGTATTTTGAACTGAGATGCTTGTTAAGGCTAACAATAAATATTTAATTTATTACTGCATTGCCGGGCACTGTTGGTAGGTATCTAAGTACTCACTCTTATTTTATTTGTATCTGATTGCTTTGTGGGGGGAAAAAAAAAAAAATCCCAGGAACAGAAAAGTAATATCATAAACAAAATAATCAACACATTGCAAGACAGTTTTTTGCCTCTTCATTCTCCTAGTGCTTCTATGATGAGTCATGTTCTCTTAACTTCACTGAATTTCCTTGTTATTCACAACAGAAATTGTTCATTGTCACAACACAACTTGTTTTCCACTCTGCTCTATTTTTCAAATACCAACTCTAAGTGCATTAAAGTATGAATATATCTGACCTCTTGTTCAAACATCTTGAATTTGACACAGCTAACCATTTTAATAAACTGAACTATTTCATATACACGTAAGGAGAATAACAAACGGAGTTGAAGTGGGGAGCGGTGACAAGGGATTCTATAGGAATCTTTTTCTAGCAGTGTTTTTTTTCCCAAGGAATATCTGATCTGCTCTATGCTTTTATTACCACATTTTTCACAGCTAATCACAGAAAAGCTATGAATTAATATATACATTTTAAAAATAATTACTGGAGTATATGCTTCTTGAATATGCGTATAGACTATTGTTTGGGCACATATTTTAAGGTCCACTGTGACAAAAGTCTCTTCCTTAGTCATTTCATTCCCTTCTGCAAAGTTCAAAATGCATCAGCTCAATATTGAAAATTAATGCTCAGTGCTGGCCTTTGTTAATACCAACCTCACCGAAGCTATAATTTCAATAAATACAGACAGAAAATTAATCAGAAGTCTAAAAAGTTATGCTAGGAAGAAGGAAGAATACATCCAAAATTCTACATATTTCCTTCCAAGCTTCTAAAAGTAAGGATTCTGTTAAATGGCAGTATGAAACAGAACTGACTCATGCTATGGAAGTCGATTACCAAAGAGAATTCAAATCCTATTCCAGCCAACAGGCTGGACTGAGAAAGCCCAAGATCTTAAATGGGCTTCTGTTAGAAGCTAGTTGCAAACAGTGCTGTAAGAAAGCAGTAGAGGGTCTCTACAGATTACCTTTATTTGA